CTTGCCGAATCCCTTGATGAAGACGAACTGGCGGAAGAACCTTCGGACGGTGAGAAAGCCACACATGTATCTTGTCCTTGAGAAGCATCCAGTGAAGGAACGAGCCGGGCAGCGAAGTCTTCGAACGAAAGTGGAAGACTCCCGACATCCGCATATGCCTCGGAAGAAAGGGCGGTCGTGCGCACAACCGCTTCCGATGGCGTCGAGGGAGGTGTCGAGTCACCCTCGGCGGCGCCTACTTTCTCTGACGGGGTTTCCCTTTGGTGGGGCAATGTGCAGCATCGTGGATGGTGCTGTTGCACCAAAGGCAGTAACGGTACTTGAGTCTCGTGCGATAAGAATTCGCCGAGAGTCCGTATTGTGCCCAAGGTTCGTCGGCGGCTGATCCGGTGCTCGGTGTAGAGGTGGACTGAGTCTTCGTCTTGTCGCGGCCGTGGTTGTTGCGCGGCCGGCCACCATYCCGGGCAGCTGCCAACACTTCACCCTCGTTTGGTGTTGCAGCCTCGGTAGAAGTAATGCAAGCCACCTTTGGCTTGGGCTGGGTGCCGCTCGTCGTCGCGGTAGATCGGCCGGCGTTGCGGGCTTCGATATTCGTGAGAATGATCCGTGACGCTGTGCTGAAAAGCTTGTCAGATGTGTCGAGTGTCTCTGCAATCTGCGTCAGCGCGTTTTGCAGAGCTGGACACGAGCGCATGATAAACCAAGTGCTTGATGGCGCGGAATGCGAGCGGCAGGTCAGGTGTGGAGGCGAGTCTTTGGAACTCGGTAATCCAGTCCTGACTGAGCAGCGTGTTCTGATGGAGCTTGTTGAGCTTGTCCATCGCTTGCAGGTCGGGCGGCTCCACTTGGAATCGCTTGTGCCAGGCGTCGGTCAACTCCTGCCAAGTGAGCTTGGTGTGCAGTTCCGACACTGCTACGCCGTGGCTGGTCAAGATGTTGTCCAAAAATGCTTGACACGCACCACCAGATCGGTGGTACAAGCAAGGATGTCGATCGTTGTTCGGGACATGGTGCATGTCGAGCCTGAGAGTAAACTGGCGCCACCACGGGATCGGTTCCGTCTTGGACTGATCGCAGAAAACGGGAATGTCATCCAGCTTGGGTGGGCGCCGGGAGGATGCGGCGGCAGGCGTCACGGTCGCAGCAGCCTGGACGTGCGTCTCCAACTGCAAGTTCGTTGCTTGCTGCGACATCCGGAAGTCCTGATGCACACGCTTGATGTTGCTGACGTCATCCTCCAAAACTTGCACACGGGTGGTAAGGGTGGAAGGCCCTGCGGCTGCTACAACAGCTGGCTGTTTCTCCAACGCCTGCAGCCGTGCGAGCATCTGGTCCACTGTCTGCTGCAGGTGAAGGATTTCCTCCTGCTGCAGAGCGCAGGTGACCACGAGGTCGTGGGAGACCTGCGCAAGGGCTGACACCCCTTTCTCAATCTCCGGGGCCCCGTCTGCAGATGTCACTTCCACCCAATGTGCGGCCTCATCGCCGATCACGGTCTCCCGCGTGAACAGTCGTTCCCGCTGGCGTGACCGGTGTTCGGCTGCCGCCTGCAGGACTGCCTCTTCTTGACGAAGTCGGTCCTGTTCCTCCTTCTGTCGCTTGGCCTCCCTCCTCTTGTTCGAGCCGATTACGTTCCTTGGCCGCGGCGGCGGCCCTATCGTTGGCCTCCTGAATAAATGCCGCCAGGTGTTCCTCATAGGCCAGGAGGGATTCTCCCGCCTTCCGGTCCATGGCCTTGGTCTGTGATCGAGTGAGCAGTGTCATGCACTACTGTGCCCGCAGTCGGAAGAGTCACCCGAGGGCCAATCTGATGGACTGGCCCAGTACCCAGACTGGAGGGGGAGGAATAGGTAGGAAGTAGACAAGTGGGAAGGATCGGACAGAGCCCAATTTGAACAGTTTCCTAATCAAAAAGAAGAAAAATAAAACTTTAAAATTCGGAAAAAGTCTGTCCAATCCCACTGCGTACCGAAGGTGATGCAGAAAGCAAATGTGAACCTTCGGTGCTCGGACTGCAGAGAATCAGAAAAGAAGGGTCTTTATAACTTGGAGTAGGTTGCAAACAGAAAAAAAATGCCGTTTTTTTTTTTTGAAAAAAAAGAATGGAATTTGCAGACCTGCGCAGTGAAAGTGTAGAGGGACAATTTCGGAAAAAGAATCACGAAATTATCAAAATGCAGACATTTAATTCTCGGAAAAATAATTTTTTGGAAAAGAATAAGAATTTCTTGAAAAAAAAAATTCTCGGAAAAAGAAATAATTTCTCGGAAAAAAAAAATTCTTGGAAAAAGAAATAATTTCTCGGGAAAAAAAAAAAATTATTGGAAAAAGAAATAATTTCTCGAAAAAAATAAATAAATAATTAATTCCGGGAAATTTCCTGCCAAATAATCAATCAACTTAATTAATCAATCAATCAATCAATCAATCAATCAATCAATCAATCAATCAATCTCAGATGATTGCTGGTTGATTGATCGATTGTTCGATCATCTCCTGATTGACTGATCAATCAATCGAAGATTGATTGGTGGCAAACCACCAATCCAATCAATCAATCGATTGATTGGTTGTTGCCAAGATTCATCGCACTGGCTTCGATACCACTTGTAGCATATCAGAAAGTGAAATGCACTGAAAGCCTAGGATCTAGCAATGACGAATGTGGCAACAACCAGCAGCATAGGTGCAACATTCACAAGGTGTCAATGTGCGCGACGCAAAGAGTGAAACAACGGGAAATCAATAACAACACATTCGYATSATCATCATCATAGGCTGGGAAGCAGCGCAGCGGAAGATCTAGTATCAAAGGACAAGTGGACAACAACATGAAAGGGAGAAACTTCGGAAGGGCAAGACACCAGAAAGATTGCCCTTCCGCTCACACACATGGGGAGAGATCCATAGACATGCGAGAGAGAAGGGGGAGGGACATAGAGGTAGCCAAGTCCAACCCAAGTCTGATCTCCGAATGTCGCACACAGTTCAATCCCAATGTAGAGTGTAAGTCCGATCGGAATGTCGTGTCCAATAAGGCAGAAGGCCGTGTCCAAACAATGTCTGCAGTTACCTCTATCTCTACTCTGATAAAGAAGAAGAAGAAGAAGAAGAAGAAGAACTTCGGAGGAGTAGGAGAAGAAGAGGAGAGGAGAAGAAGAAGAGGAAGAAGAAGAAGAAGAAGAAGAAGGGACAAGATTCAAGCCATCCAGGAGTGGCCCGAGCCGAAGAATGTGACGGATGTCCGATTCAAGCTTGCCCGGTTATTATCAGCGCTTTATGAAGGGTTACTCGAAGAACGCGGCCAATAGTAAGTTACAAAGCGAGGAGCGGCCTTTTGACTTCGACGACGACGCGCGCCATTCTTTTGAGACACTCAAAGCGGCACTCTTGTCCGCCGAGGTGTTACATATTTACGACCCGCTTCTAGCTACACGCGACACTACCGATGCGTCGGGCTATGGCATTGGGGCCGTCCTTTAGCAGCATGATGGCACGGACTGGCACCCGGTCGAGTACTTTAGCAAGAAAGTACCTCCCGTGCATTCGATCGACGACGCACGGAAGAAGGAGCTTCTTGCCTTCGTCCACACCCTCAAGCGTTGGCGACATTTCCTCCTTGGTCGGAAAGCATTCCGATGGGTAACGGATAACAATCCGTTGGTATTCTACAAGTCGCAAGACACGATTAACAGTACCATTGCCCGTTGGATGGCTTTCATCGACCAGTTTAACTTTTTCCCCGATCACATTCCCGGGAAGTCAAACCGTTTTGCGGACGCCCTCTCACGTCGACCGGATCTTTGCACCGCAGTCTACTCTACCTTCAAGATCGACGACGACTTGCGGGAGAGCTTCATCTGCGGCTATCAAGCCGACCCCCACTTTCGCGCATGAAGCTCTCCCGCTATCTTAGCAAAGGGAAACCGTTTTGCACCGCAGTCAAACCGTTTTGCGGACGCCCTCTCACGTCGACCGGATCTTTGCACCGCAGTCTACTCTACCTTC